GTTAATTTCTGGATTCTTGATTCTGTTCCATTGATCAATGTATCTTTCATTGTACCAGTACCAACCTGTTTTGAGCACTGTAGCCGTGTAGTAAATTTTGAAATCAGGGAGTGAGAGGTTTCCAATCTTATTCTTCTTCTGAAGCAGTGCTTTGCTTATCCTTGGTCTCTTTCCTTTGCATATAAATTTTGTAATTGTTTTTTCCATCTCTTTGAAAAAGGTCGTTAGAATCTGGTTTGGATTTGCTTTGGGCAGTATTGACATTTTCACAATATTAAGTCTTCCTATGCAGGAGCATGGTACATTCTTCCATTTTTGTAGGTTTCTTGTAGTAGGGTTTTGTAGTTTTCTTTGTATAGGTCCTTTGTTTCTATGGTTACATTTATTCCCAGATATTTCATCCTTTGGGTGGCTATTGTAAATTGTATTGCCTTTCTAATGTCCTTTTCAGCACCGACATTATTGGTATAGTGGAATTCAACTGATTTTTGTATGTTGATCTTATATCCTGCCACTTTGCTGAACCTTCTATTGAGGTCTAGTAGCTTTTTTTACTGAGTCTTTGGGGTTTTCTATGTTTAGGATCATATCATCTACAAACAGAGAGAGTTTTACTTCCCCTTTGCCAATTTGGATGCCTTTAATTTCCCTGTCTTGCCGTACCAGCACAATATTGAATAGGAGTGGTGACAAAGGGCATCCTTGTCTGGTTCCTATTCGTAGAGGGAAGGATTTCATTTTGTTTCCATTGAGAATAATGTAGGCTGTTGGTTTTGTATACATGCTCTTAATTATGTTGAGGAATTTCCCTTCAATTCCTACTTTGTTGACTGCTTTTATCAGGAATGGATGTTGGATTTTGTCAAATGATCATGTGGTTCTTTCTTTTTTTCTTACTTCTATGGTGGATTACATTGATTGTTTATTTTATGTTGAACCATCCTTGCATCCCTGATATGAATCCCACTTAATCATGATGTATTGTTTTTTTGATGTGCTGCTGGATTCTGTTGACTAGGATTTTGTTGAGAATTTTTGCATCTATATTCAAGAGGGATATTGG